AAAAATATAATTAAAGATGGATGGAGTGATTATTGGATGAATTAGAATAGAATTGATCATTTAATCAAATTAAAGATTGATTTATTAGAGATTAATAGTTTAAGGAATGAGTTAAAGATTGATAATGGAATGTGATTAAACAATTAATTAGAATCAATCGAGGGATCATAGGATTTAGTTAGATTATCGGATCGAGTCTTTGTAATCAATTTCATTTTTATTTGATAATCTTATATTTTTAATTCTTGAATAATTCATTGTTTGGATTATTCCTTGTTATGTAATATTGATGGATGATCCATCATTTTATTATGCTAGATTCTTCGGAGCGAGCGACTCTATCCCAACCGCTTTGATTTCCATTCGGCTTTTCAATTATACTATGAGTGAATATTATGTTGTGTACTCGTATTTTATATTCCTTGAATTATGTCTATCATGCATAATTAAATTATGAATGATTTAGAAGCATTCTATTAGAACGCAAATGGGAATGGACATCATGAATATTGAAATGTTTTCGTATTGATTTGATATAAACCGGAAAGGAGTTTGATATGTGTTATAAATGTTATTTTAATTATTTGTATAATTTTTGAAATTATATGCATGGTATTTGAAATACCAATTTGAAAAATGTATAAACATGTTCGATGTTTGAAAATGTTTTCGAAATCCTAAAAAAACCTAGCTATTAGGGGTAGTCTTTGAGCTCAAAGGAGAGGTGTAGTGTTACATCGTATGTCGGTCAACATACGAAAATCTAGTCATGGGGGTATGACCTTTATGTGTTCGCACCCAATTATACGTTATTACCTTACGGATGTATAAAAATCTATATATGTGTTTTCGTATGAGTACGATATATGTATGTACAAATGCTTTGACAATTTAATACAAAAAGGTTTTGAACTATTTGATTATGATATAAAATGCATTTTCGATATGCATGTGTTTGAGGAATAAGCATTGTTTTTTGACATGGATTTGAGAATATCGTCCCTAGTTTGTTTTTCTCCTTTAGTATATTGTATAATGTTTACTCACTAAGCTATGGAATGCTCACCCCTCATTATTTCGATCTTGTAGGATATTGAGTGATTGCTCATTACTTTCTTCTTGTTGCTTGATTCGAAGTTAGCACTTTGATCGTGCGACTCACTTTAATCGTAATTTCTTAGAACTTATGTTTGTTCTAAATGTATTCTTAGATGCTTTGCGAGTTATAGTTGTGGATAGAGTATTAGGAGTTGATTGTGGACATGAAATTATGAATATTGATTTTGAATATTGAAATATGAATTGTATTAAGGTTATAAAAGAAATGTTTATTGAGTTATGATAATGTTAATTGGAATGATAATGTAAGTAATATCGATTTAAGGACTATAGTATAAGTGCGATCATGATTTGAAATTTAATTTAGCATACGATGTTTGCTTGGGTCGACATAAACCTCACGATCCCTTTGGTTTTCGTGTTGGTCATGGCCCACTCTTAGGTTACAGCATAGTTATCTCACTTAAACACTTATTAGATTTGTTTATAATAAAATTTTGTTGTTCTATCTTTTTTGTACGTAATTTTTTTTATTATTACTATTATTTTTTTTTAAACTCAAATATTTGACTTATCTTTGATCACTTTAGGTGGGTATGCACTGGTCTTAAATTCGAAAATTCTTAGTCCTTTATGCTCAGAATCAAGAAAGGAGATCCATATACATTTTACAGTGCCTAGGATAAGAGGGAAAAAGTGAAATTTGAAACTAAAACTTTTAGTTAGAAATCCAAAGCTCCTACAAAAAGAACTTTTGGTTTTAATTAGGAAGTTACACCAATCACTATCAATGTTGAGAAAGACCATTGATGTTTGACAGAGCCCACCAATTTAGAAAAGATTAGAGAGACCAGGGGTGAGGAAAAAATAACTGATCATGATTGTACACTCTTTCGTCCCATAATCTAGTCGTCTGTGGACAAATTTGGTCTAATGGCGACAGCCGTATTAATTAAAAAATGAAAAAAAAAAAAAAGCACGAAATCAGAGTAAAGAAGAAAACAGATCGAGAAGAGACCCAAAACACTTTGGACCTTCGACTTTCTAGAGACTATTCATATTTTTACGTGAAGATGGTGCATTAATTTGGTTTGCATATACTCATTGCTTTTTTTTTAGTATGGTAAGCTCTGCCGATAAATTATAGTAATTCAATTGTTATTAACATTTTTTATTAGTTTTAATATCTTTTATGGCAAAAATAAAAAATAAAAATAGATAGTATAGTAAGCTCCAACATGATTTGATCAAATAAATTCTATCTTTTAAAAAAAGAAAAAAGAAAAAAAAATCTTGTTTCTCTCATTAAACTCAGGATTAATTTTCTTGCGAGACCAAGACTAATGACGTTTTCCCTAAGTATTGGGCTTAGAACAACTTCAGTATTGGACAAATTCAAGGAGTTGAGCCCCCTGGTCATAGGATGCCCTAAAGAGTGAAACTCGAAATTCTTGACTCTACTTTTCAAAGTAAACCGAAGAGCAGTTGAATTCATTGTAAAAATAAAATAAAAAAACGCAAGAAGAGAGAAAAGCAATTGAATCAAGTATTGAACCTTCAAATTTCAGCTCCATAAACTGCCATTCCTTATTGACCTCAACCCAAAATCATACACCAGTAAACTAAACGATAAAGATTGTAAAAATTTGGCAATTATATCTATGTCGTATCACTCTATGCAAAAATTTTCCAAACGAACTAAATAAATTTATTTAGTCTGAGTTAATACCTTCTTGAAAAGGAAATAAATAACTCAGGGATGAAAAAAATATTGTACATCTAGCATTTATCCATAAAGAATATGTTTTCAAGATTAAAAAGAAAAAAAAAAAACAATATCATGATTAAAGCTGTTGGATTTTTCTGATGCTATATTTATTTATTCATTTTAGGCCACCTGCCCCTCATCCATGCTGCTATGGTATAGGTTTTATTGCAATTTTCATTCATTGAGACTTGTACTATGAATTTTTGTCAATTTTATCTTTAAATTATCATTTTTTTGATAAATATTGTTTTACTTTAACTGTTATCATCGACCAAACACCCATTTGGAAAAATTCAATGTTTAATATTTTGAGTTGAATTTTTTTACTTTTACCAATAAAATTGAATCTACTTTTCAAAAATTCAATGTTAACATGATTTTTGAAATATTTGCATAGTCAAATATGTAACACCTAATCAAAACCTAAAATAGATTAATTTTTGAAATCACATATGTAAATATTTTAAGAACTACACTGAAATCATATATGTAAATTCACATGATTACCTTATAGCTTTTCGAAATATTTCAGATAATTCCATCTTATTTTCTATTTTTCATAATTATTGAATTTTTATTGTTTAAAAAATAAAAAAAAATCTCTGACTTAAAAAAAAAAAAAAAGAACTTATTTTTAAAAGTAGGCTGAATTTTTATGAACATCTATGAAAATTTCAGCTCAAAATACCATCTGTTGATTTTTTTTTTAAAGTTAGTAAATGATAACAGTCAAATCAAATTAAAAATCAATATTTACTGGAATCATGATAATTCAATGAGAAAATTGATCAAGTTAACAATAGAGACCTCAACCTCAGTAATTTATAGGCAAAAACTACAATTAAACCCTATAGTCTATATAGAGTATTGCATTGTTGGGCTTTTTCATTCTGGGCTGATGCTGCTGTAGGATTTTTGTTTTTTTGGGCTTGAGAACTTACTATATTCGGCGCATCTAATTCATTTTAGGTCAGCCCACATCCATCAAGCTGTAGCAATGCCACATTTATCGAAGGATAAAATAATAATAATAAGAATAATAATACGGAAAAAATGGGATTTAGAACGAAGGTTTTGCTTAGTGCTTGCATTGCCTCCGTGTTTTAGCTAATTTGCCCTAGTAAATTATAAATTAATCCTTCTCATTTTATAAAATAAATTAAATAGTCCTTCTTATTTTAAGAACTAATTAATCTCTTAATTAGTGTTGGTCATAATTAATTTAATATTTTTTTATTAAAAATGTCATTTTTCTCATTTTTTTATTAAAAAAGAATGAAAAATATTAAATTAAAAGTAAATTTAAAACTGTAAATACTATTTAATTAATTTTTAAAAATAGAGGAATTAATTTATAAGTTACTCTACGTTGCTTCAAATCAAACGGCTAAAAGCAGTAATTTGGTGTTTGATAAGAAAGCTTAGATTCTATTACTTAACTTAATATGCGAATTCTTTTCAATCATCACTAATATCTTAATTATTTCTCTAAACTTTTCATTAAAATTTACATTTCAGTTGAGCAAAACATCAAATATTCCTCCTCGTTAACTGTTACATATCCTTATAATAATTCTCCTCCATCTCTAAACTCATCCCAAACGTTGCTAAATTAGCAGTTGCAACTAAATTTCCTTGTTTGTGAGGTTCAATCGAGGAACCCTCCAGCTCCATTGGGGTCTGGCTCAGGAATATATTATGATATATATATTGGTCTAGCCTCTAATTTCTCTCTCTCTCTCTCTCTCTATCTCACCCCCTGGCATCCATATTGTTCTTCTTCTGCATTGTGCATCCGAAGAGAACAAGAACAATCCCAAGTTGGAAATAATATATATATATATATGTTGTCATTACCTTCCTCTAAATTACTATGAGCTTTACTAGGAAGTGTGATATAATGTGAAAACATGATTTTGAATTAAACAAATAAATAATAGAAGTTGTTCCAAAAAATTAAACATAGCAAAACTCCAAGCTATAAATACTCACAAAACAAACAAATAGCCTATAAAAACGAAGAAAAGTAAATACCATCATATTAAATAGACAAAATCATTAAACAAAAAAAAAAAAAAAAAGGAAACGAAAGAGAAATAAAGAAGCCTGGTTGGCCCAAACCCGGTTCTCAAGACACCCAACCACTGCCTACCACTAAATATCAACCAGCTCGTCAGGCACCGGGAGCCGCATCCTTCACTTTGCTCTGCAAGTACCCTCCATATTCCCTAGCATAGTCCTTCACATGGCTCGCTGTGTCGTAGATTCTGTTACGAGCGTAATCGAACTGGTCCGACCCAGGTGGGTTCAACCCTCTAAAATACCTATATGTCCATGACAATCCAGCCACAAGAGCCAATCCGAACCCGCAAAAAGATAAGAAGCCAGCAACAGCAAAGAAGAGGACTGCGGCTATAGGGACCCATATAGGGCTTGAAATGATGATCAAAGGAGTGAAGAAGATCAACCCAAGTACTGCTCCTGTCACAGTGATCCCTGTAAGGAGGAGGAGAACGGAGCCAGTGATGATAAGAGTCAAGAAACCAACAAGTTGGCTTGAGTTTGATCCAATATGGGCTTGGAGTTTACGTAAAAAAGTAGGGCCGTTGTTGGTAGTAGTGGGTGTTGGGGTGGGTCTTGGAGCTCTCTGGGTAGGGGCACGGTCAGCCATTAGGGAAAGTTTGAAGATAGAAAGAGAGAAACGAAGACAGGAAGAGAGGGTTTAAAGAAGGGTGGTAAATAGGGCTGGGTTTGGTGTGGATGGGACAGGTGTTAAGATGGTTGGGTTTGGAGACATGCAAAAGCACACGTGGAAGGATCCGAGTCTTAGAATTCCTAGATATGGGTGCTGTTTACTGACCTTTTCCTTTTTCAATATTTGGGTATGATATTGGCAAAAATTTATGTGCTTGTTTTGAGTTTGAATCCTTTCTTAATAAACTAATCGATCATTTTCTTTAATCATTGATTCTGAATTTAATGATCAAAATTAGATGAGAAAATACAACAATAATAAGTTAAATGATTGTATTTTTATCATACATTAAATCATGTTTATTCAATTTAAATTTAATATTTTTTATTTAAAAAATACGGTAGTCATATTTTTAAAACGAATATAAATAAAAATCTGAATCCGTTTATTTTTAGTTACATGCAATTTTAGATAATTGATATATAGATATAAAGAAACCGTCAATTTAGTCAAATTTATATATTTATTTGCAATTACACCTCAAATCTATAAATTTTACCTACATTTCTCATAATGTTCTGTTATCAATTTATTTGAATAGTTTGTGTTTAATGTGCATATTTTATGTAATAAAATGTTGTTGATTTAAAGATAATTTGACAAAAAATAAACATTAATATTTTCAGCCTGATGTCTAGTTTATAAGGATATTAATTTAAAGAAAATTTGACTAAAATAATGATAAATATTAATAGAAAAAACTTGACAGATAATTTTTTGAAACATTAGAGATCTAATTGATAAAATTTATAAATTTAGGATTAATAGCGAATGTGTATGCAAATTTCGATTAAATTGAGGTTTTTCTAAATTGTATGTGCAGTATGTATATGGTATGTGGGATAAGAGATTCTAATCAGAACCACCGTATCAAGAAATGAATATGTTTTTCATATCTTATTATGCATCAAACTTCTTAATGTGAAAAGTGCTTTTTTTTAAAAAAAAAAAAACTAGCTAGGTACATGAGGATTACTGTTAGCTAAAAATCCTAGTAGACACTCTTAATGATTAAAAAAAAATCATGAATATACATAATCTTAGCTTACATCAACGAAACTAGTTTTATATGAAGGGTTTTTGAGAACTAATCAAACGATTGGTCGATAGACCGATCAAAATATGAAGAACTAGTATTGTGACTTGTTGAAACAATAGTTAACCAACCAAGTAAAATGAGTATAAATGATGACGTGTTGTACCGTTAATAAATTAGTTATTTATAGTGTTCTTATAGAGCTTTTAATCATAATTATGTAATCATGATAAGTAAGGGTTGAACTTACATGAAAAAAGAGTCGGTTCAATTGTTTTAGTTGTTTGATTGTTCTTGCATGTAAAAACGAGGTTTTTTGTGTTTAAGATGCTTAAAAATAATATAAAGCAATGAGAGATAACAATATGAGAGAAGCCTTGGTTGGACTTCAGTATCCATTTTTGGTTTGGTCGCTAATCATTGATTAAATAATTAACTCATCCTAACATGAATATTTAACGTAAGACAACAACATGTATGTTGATTCTAATTTTTCCTTACCCGACTTTTAATTGAACAAACAATACTCGATTAATTCCTTAGTTATTGAACAACCTACTAAATGGTAGATAGATTTAATCCAATAACGATATTAAGATGAGAAAAACATGTAAAGCTCAACTACCTTCCTAAGCCCTAGAAAAGATGTAACATAGTTCTATGTCTTCTAAGGAATTGAATGAAAACAACATTAATCATCAACCCTCGATTACTAGCATAGGCAAGTTTAGATAAACAATTTCATGAACTTGAATACTTAGTCAGCAATAAGTAATATGAATAAACAACTAGTGAGCACTCTAATTGAATTAATCATACAACTATGAATCAATCATGCGGAAAAACATAAAATACCCAATAGAGATAAGTTTAGAAATAAAACCAAGTAATCTCAAAGCGATTAACCAAAAGCTTCAACTTGATTCAACCAAGAATGGAGTTTAGTTGTTCATAATGTATTACAAAGAGAATTTCTATTAAAGACGATCGTAGAAGAGTTGGAAGAGAAGAACCATAAATAATACCCTAGTTTACTATTTATAGCTAAAAGTAGGATCACATTAAATATGTGTCGACATCACATGACTTGATACACAAGGTCACATGATTTGTTACTTGATATTGGACGAGTTGAAGCCTTGGAAATTAAGTGTCACACAACTTTTTAACTAAGGCACACGACCATGTAACTTTGTTCTTCATTTCGTGTAGCCAAGCTTCCGGTCATATAGATTCCTTCTATAAATCGTGTGGAATTTCTCCCGTCCGTGTATACCTTATTTTCCTTAGAGACACGTATGTGTGGCTTTACACTAGAAACTCGTGTAAGAAGCCTACTACTTGTGTGGTCTTCTTCTCTCTTCATGTTCTGCTAGGTTATGTTCTACTAGGTTCAATCACCCACATGGTTGTGTGGAATGCTTCATTTGACCGTGTGAAAATGGTTCTTTGTATGACTTGCTATGCTTGAGACTCCAATGATTCCTCTTTTAAGTCACACGACCAGTAGTTATTTCTTTTGTTATTTCACATGATCATGTGACTCTTTTTAGCCTTTTTGGATTTTCTCTCTTCCTTCTTAGGTTTTGAGTTTTCTTACTTCGATTCATCGTTTTTTTTATAAAACTTGAAACCATCATCTTGTTCTTAAATCAGATAATATAATACAATAACTACTATAAAGTTCAATGTATAGAGCATAAAAAATCATGCTAATTATACACTCATCAATAAATAGTGAGAGATATGGCAGGAGGAATAAGTAATGCTAGCAAGATGTAATTTGACTCGAAAAGTGAATGATCAAAGTCTAAATAAATAGAAAGAGAGAAAAGAGAGAGAGAGAGCATGCATTCATTAGTCTATCAAGCACCGGGACTCTCAATCTTTTATAAAGATAGTGAAGTCACTAACTAGAATTAGGGGAAATGTCTTACCATCTTGCTACCATTAAGCTTTTTCTATTAGGATTTAGAGAACTTGAATCGGAAAATATCTTTCTCCCATTTCATAGAGTGTGATTTTCGTTCTTTCATATGATAAGAATCTTATTATATGCCATCTACCTTCATAGCGAGTAATTTTGATGGATTACTATCTTCATCCATCCAAAAATGCAATTATAGAGCTCTTAAATGACCTTATTTGAATCTTGGTTCGATAGACACCACATGAGCATTCCATCATAGGATTTTTGATACAATGTTCTTATTTGAACATGGGCTACTTGACTTATGTTCTTAATTTCCTAACGCTTAGCTTCCTAGCATGACATATCGGCTATGCCATTAGAGATTGAATTAGAGCCTAAAATGATCCTCCACTTTCTAATTAGGAAATATCACCATTCTATAGGCTTCTTTCACTGCTCAAATGAGAGTCTTATTTCTTTTAAACTTTTCTTTTCCCTCTTTTATGATGTGAAATTGATGAAACCTCGATATTTAAAGATTGATTTTGTTAGAGAGAGAGAGAGAGAGAGAGAGAGATTGAATGCCTCTCATAATAATATGAGATTGGTATTTATAGTAAAATGAGATTGGCCTTTAACTCCTAGGATAGTGTCACATCATTCATATTTGGACAATCAAATTTGGATCAAAGAAAATTAGCTTTTTTTAGGCTAAACTATTTTAAATTGTTAGCAAATGATAAATGAAATAACAAATGAACCTCGCTTTCATCCTAAAAAATTAATCTCCTAAATGCATCCTAAAAACAAAACATTAGCACTAGTGTTTTTAGAATGTTTGTGTCTATTCTCGCATGATCGAAAGCTTTATGTTGGGTAAAGTTCATTCTCGGTTTAATATATTTATTGTGTAGCTTGAATCCATGCCAAAATTAAGAAAAATGATATGAATTAGCACATCATAAAATTATCTAAATTACTTAATTAATTTCTACATATAAATTAAGCATATATATCTATCCTCGTATATAGCTTGGCCAATAATGATGTTCATGCAAGCTTGTATACCAAGATAAAAAAGAAAAGAAAAGAAAATTAAAGTTAGAAAAAATGACATGCATAAACGGCTTGCAAAATAGATAAACTCTTATTCATCATGTATCCCACCAGCATGATGATATCGACATTTTTATAAGAGTGACTATAGGATGTCTACTATGGATCTTTTAAATATATAGAAAACAAATGAAATATATGATAAGCTTGGTGTGAGCCTTTCAATGCATAGTAACAACTAGGCTTTTCATTAGCTTTTTATTAGTATGGATGCCCAAGATCTAACCATGTTTAGATAGGTTTGATTTATTATATTATTGTATTATTTATTTTATTAATAATAAAGAAGTCTTTCTATTAATTCTTATGTTTTATGTTTATTTATTTAGTAGAATTAGATAGAAGTCCCTATAATATGCATTTGTATTGGTGGTTAATCGAAAAATGTGAGACAAATACTAATGTATATAAATGATATCATTAAATATCCCAAGTCATAACATTGTCAAAAATGAACATTGACTAGATGTGGTTAGACTTATGAGTATTATGCTCGTACTATATGATAGTAGTAAGAGATCTCACACTTATTAACATGATGATGCCAAAGTAAGCACTTAGGTGATTTATGTTAGAGAACATATCATAAGACTTGATTCGACATGAGAAACCATTTAATTTAGTCTATGAGAATCTCATAAGAGGTGGGTACAACTAGTCCTTAGATTGAAAGTACTCATGGTTATCTCGTTGGAGGATTTGTGTACTTTGACATTCATTTCGATGGACTTAGTAAAGGGTTGTACATGGGCGAATAGTTGGATGCACTAGGAATCTAATGAAGGTAGGTGGATGACTAAGATAGGACATGTCATTCTTTATATGCTAAAAGAGTTATTACATTGGACTTCG